TCTCAACTGTGAACTAGGATACCCAGAGCAGAGATAGGAATACAGAGAGGAAAGTGGCCTCACTTGGTCCCTTCTGCAGCAGCCAAAAGACTGAAAGGAGCTTTGTATGTGCCTGACTTGGAAAAGTCTGACCAAGACTAAGCCAGCAGGGAGTCAGAACAATGAAGGCCTTTTTTCATATCAAAATCCCAAAGGTGATTTGGGGCTGTTGGGGACTGCAGAGACAGGCAGGAATCTGTCGGCCTGGGGAGTCAGTGCAGAACAATAGTAGTCTTGACATTGGAGAATCTGGGTTTCCAGCCCTGCCTTTGCCCTTTACCAGCCACCTGGCTTTCAGCAAGTCACCCAGCAACTCCAGCAAATTGTAGGGTTATCGTGGGCTCAAGTGAGACCATCTTCACAAAAGCAATCTTTCTTCAGATAAAAAATAATAAATGCAAATTATTGAGCAATTTGGGATCGTTTGGGATCAAAGGGGCAGTATTTGCCCAAGGAGGAGGAATGGAAATGACAAACAGGGTAGAAGACGGATGAGTGATGTTACATTGTAAGGATTGCAATCAATGACATGAAGCAATGTGTATGAGTTGTTGAATGGAGAACGGATTTGGTCTGAAAATCTTCACCCAGTTTACACCCAGAGTGTTGTTGTCCAATGCTGGTCAAGTCAGTTCTGACTCATAGAGACCCTGTATTAGGTTTCTGAGGAGCGACTGGTGGGTTTTGACCAACAACCTTGTGGTTCAAACTGACCTTGCGTCCAGTGCTTTATTCTACAGCACCATACTGTTGGTGTTAGGTGCCATCGAGTTGGTTCCAACTCATACCAACCTTATGCACAGTAGAACAAAATACTGCCCAATCCTACACCACCCTCACAATCATTGATAAACTTGAGTCCATTGCTGCTGCCACTGTGCCAATTCATTTCATTGGGAGTCTTCCTCTTTTTTTTTGGTGACCCTCTACCAAGCATGATGTCCTTTTCCAGGGACTGGTCCCTCCTGATAATATATCTGAAGTATGGGAGACAAAGTCTAGCCATCCTGGCTTCTAAGGAGCATTCTAATTATACTTCTTCCAACACAGATTTATTTGTTCTTCTAGCAGTCCTTGATACTTTTAATATTCTCCTCCAACACCTTAGCTCAGATGCATCACTTCTGTGGTCTTCCTTATTTGTTGTCCAACTTTCACATACGTATGAAGCTATTGAAAAATAGCAAGATGCACTTTAGTCCTCAAACTGACATCTTTGCTCTTGAATACTTGAATACTTTAAAGAGATCTTATGTAACAGATTTGCCTAATGCAATATATCGTTTGATTTTTTTGACTACTGTTTCCATGAGTGTTGACAGTGGATCCAAGCAAAATGAAGCCTTTGACAACTTCACAAATCTTTTCTCCATTTATCATGTTATTTATTGGTCCAGTTGTGAGGATTTTTATTTTCTATACATTGAGGTGCAACCCATACTTTGATCTTCACCAGTAGGTATTTTAAGTACTTTCTGCTTTCAACAAGCAAGGTTGTATTATCTGTGTATCGCAAGTTGTAAATGAGTCTTCTCCAGTCCTGATGCCATGTTCTTCATATAATCCAGCTTTTCTGATCATTTGCTCAGCATACAGATTGAATAGGTATGGTAAAAAATATATATATATACAATCCTGGTACACACCTTTCCTGATCTGAAACCATTCAGTATCCCCTTGTTCTGTTTGAATGACTATCCCTTGGCATATGTACAGGTTTCTCATGAGCACAATTAAGTGTTCTGGAATACTCATTTCCTGCAATGTTGGCCATAGCTTGTCATGATCCACATAGTCGAAAGCCTTTGTGTAATCAATAAAGCACAGGTAAACATTTTTCTTGTATTGTTTGCTTTCAGCCAACATCCATTTGATGCCAGCAATGATATCCCTCACTCCACGTCCTCGTCTGAATCTGATTTGAACCTCTGACAGTTCCCTATCAATGAATAGTAGCAGCTGTTTTTGAGTTATCTTTAGCAAAATCTTACTTGCATGTGATAGTAATAGTATTGTCTAATAATTTCTGCATTTCATTGAGTCACCTCTCTGGAATTAGCACAAATATGTATCTCTGCCAATCATTTGGTCAGGTAGCTATCTTCCAAATTTCTTGGCATAGATGAGTGAGTGCGTCTAGTGCTGCATCAGTTTGTTGAAAGAGTTCAATTTGTATCCCATCAATTCCTGGAGGCTTGTTTTTGCCAATGCCTTCAGTGCAGGTTGGACTTCTTGCTGTAGGATCATTGGCTCTTGATCATATGTTGCCTCTTGAAATGGTTGAACAGCGACCATTTCTTTTTGGTACAGTGACTCTGTGTATTTCTTCCATCTTCTTTTGATGCTGTCTGTATCATTTAATATTTTACCTAAAGAGTCCTTCAAAATTAGTTGAGCTTGAAGTTTTACTTAATTTCTTTCAGCTTGAGAAATGCTGAGTGTTTTTTCTTCAGTTCTTTCAGCTTGAGAAATGCTGATCATTCGACTTCCAGTGAGGCCTGTCTCTGCTGTTTGCCCCACCCCTCCACCACCCACATAGGTTCTGTCACTGGGCACCTGCCTGACCTGCTGTCTGCTAACCTGTGTGTGTTGTACATGCATGTCACTTCTCTGTCATTGTTTCTCTCTTACAGAGGAAGCACTGGGGTCATCTGGGGCTGATTAGTGTCACATGGTTTAATGGAGAAGTGCAGCTATGAGTCTTCCCCACAAAGTTTCTTCCAGGATGGGGGCATCCCTAAGGTTCCAAATACCATCACACCCTCCTCTACATTAGAATAAGTGTTCTGCATATGCACCTCCAGGATCGAAAGGGCGACATTTTAAAGCTAAAGATTGTAAATGAAAGTAATCAGGGACCCTTAATGGGCACAGATGGGTCTCCACCCATGGGACAAAAGGCATCAGTGTTGAAAAGTCTGGCTCTCCTTTGACTACAGATCTCCCAGCTTTCAAAGCTGCTTTTCATATTTAGTCTTTGACAGAGTCAGCCACTTTTTGTTCTCTTGAGTGTGGGCAGAACTCTCCAGCTGGTGTACCCCCTACAGGAAGTCCTGCCTTCCCCTCACTGCTCCCATGTCTACAGGGAGTGATCCCACCATTGTGCCCTCAGCCGGTGCTGAGGGCAGTAATGACTGAGCCACACGCTGTCCCCCTGGGTGGTGGGAGTGTCCAGTCCACCTGTGTCTGTGGTTCTACAGAAGCCAGAGGAGTGTCTGGATCCAGGCTTGGCTGAGGTGGTATCCTGCCCGCATGTTCTCCTGACATAAATAAAATTCCTTCATACGTGTTAAAAAAAATTAAGCCCTTTTGGTCTTCTAATTCCAGGTCATTGCATATTTCATAATAATACTTTGTCTTCTCAAGCTGCCCTTTGAATTTCTGTTCCAGTCTTTTACTTCTTCATTTCTTCAATTTGCTTTAACCTCTACACTGGAGCGCAAGTTTCAGAGTCTCTTCTGACATCCATTTTGGTCTTTTCCTTATTTCTTGCCTGTTTAATGACCTTTTGCTTTCTTCCTATGTTATGTTCTTGATGTCATCCCATAACTATTCTGGTCTTTGGTCATTAGTATCTAATGCATCAAATCTGTTCTTCAGATGATTGTTAAATTTAGGTGGGATGTGTCCAACTCAAATTTTTGCCCAGGTGGACTTGTTTCAATTTTCCTCAGCTTCAGCCTGAACTTGCATATGAGCAACTGATGTTCAGTCCCACAGTTTGCCCCTAGCTGGGTTTTGGCTGATGATACGGAGCTTTTCTACCATCTCTTCCCACACATGTAGTCAGTTTGATTTCTGTATATATTCCATCTGGTGAGGTCCACGTATATGGTCATCTTTCATGTTGTTTACAATAGGTGTTTACAATGAATTGGTCTTACAAAGTTCTGTCATGATCTCTAGTATCATTTCTGTCACTAAGTTCATATTGTCCAACTGCTGGTCCTTCCTCTTTGTTTCCAACCTTTGCATTCCAATCAAAATGAAAGGTGTTGAGCTTGTCGGGGGTTTTGCTTTTGTCATTAACAGTGGAGAGGGGCACAGCCCTCTGATCTGAGATTAATTGAAGGTGAAGTCAGTAAGAGCAGGGTGAAGAGTAAATGCAATACCAATTCCAAGAAAAGGCAGTTGGGGAGAAAAATCACATTGGATTGGAGGAATAGCAGGATAACCCAAATGGAGATGGCGTTTGAATGAGATGTTTCAAAAGTGACAGCCTTGGATTTTATGTTGGAAAAACATTCTGATATTTACAAACTTTGAGACAGGAGGTTACATAGTTCTGAGATCTAAGCTCTCGAAGGAGCTTCTCAGAGATGGCCTCCACTCCTGTGATAATCAACTTCACCTCTTCTTTCTTCCTGTGGTGCCTGCCCATGGCTTGGGCTCGTGGCCCCCACCCCAAGTGCATGATTCAGTCATTCTCTTCAACACAGCCTGTGGGCTCCTCAGGTTGGTACCTGACCCACATGTGGCTAGAGTCACTGGTCCCCTCCTCTTTGCCCTGGTGTCACCTTCATATCTTAGCCACCCAAGCTACTTGCTGTCCCTGTATTAGCTGTGACCTCCCACCTTAGGTCCATCTCCCTTCCTGGCTGACTCAGGACTCAGGAATGATGTTGTCCCTCCTCCCTGTTCCTTCCTGCTCTCTCTCATCTCCTCATCACATCATGCTGCAGTCTTCTGTTGCCCTTCCCTGTCAGACCATAACCTCCCCACAGCCAGGGACTGTGGTTTTCACCTCAATGTTGCTGGCAGCAGCACAAGTCCTAGTAATTAGTTACTGGTTAAAGTATGAGGTGTGCGAGTCACATCTTTCTGAGTGCCCTGAGACCTCACTTTGACATGACCTGCTCCTGAAATTCTCCTGGTCAGGTGTCAGTAGAATTGCTATCCACAGCGTACATTTAGGCCTCCGAATCTCTATATGTCATCTTGTTTCCTCTCTTGCTCCACAGGTACTCGATGTGTCTGGGGCAGACATGTTGGCCAAGTCAATCGCCAACTGCCAGGTGGAACTTCTGGAAAACTGTGGGCACTCTGTGGTGATGGAGAGACCCAGGAAGACAGCCAAACTCATCGTCGACTTTTTAGCTTCTGTGCATAACACAGACAACAACAAGAAGCTGGACTGAGTCCCCAGCTGCAGCCTGCATTCTGCAGACAGTATCCGCTCCCATCTCCAGAATCTGAAACAGCCATCACTTCTCAGGGATCCTGCCCCAAAGGGGTTGGAGCACCAGCATCCCTGAAGAAGCTAGGCTCCCATCTCCCCAGTACCTACCGTTCTGTAGAGCTTCAGGGGCCCCAAGGACATCTCCAAGATGATTTTCACAAATGGAAACGCATATGGAATGGGAAAAGTAAACCCAAACAGAAAAATCTACCGAGAAGTCTTTAAGTACCTATCACAGAAAAGCTTGTGCAAAGCAGCCGCCCTGAGCCATGATCATCAAGGACATTTTACTTACAACCTTCTTCACAGACTGATGGCCGAGGTATTTCTGTTGCTTCAGTGCTCCCTTGCATGGTCAGTGACTGTTATAGGGGCCCCTCTTGTTTATGTCTGATTTCACTTTTACTCAGAGACTCATGTGTGAACACAGCCCGTCAGCTGTGAGCTGTAGGAAACATTGACACACACCTTGGCCAGCCCTCAGAGCAACTGGAGCAATGGTGGTATGTTCGGCACCCCTGTGCCCAATATGTCACCAGTACAGCCAGAATAGTCCCAGTACAAAAAACAGATGGTGGAGGAATTTCCTGGAATCATTATTTTTTTTAAAAAAAGGACTAATAAAGCAATAATGTTCTCGATATCTCTCTAAATAATCAAATTGGGGTTTCACACACAAGTAACTCATGGGCCTCTTTTCTATTTTGCTGTGCTACTGAAAACCTTTGAATGTGTAATATTAGCTTGTTAATGAATTCTGTGAATTCTGTGAACAGTAATGTGATTAAAATAAGTCTAAGCAGCTGTAAAAATTGACCACAATGATACAAAATAAATTCACTGAGTCAAGATCAGTACATGCACATGGTTTCTATTTTGAACCTCCTTAATTAAGGAGCTCTGGTAGCGTAGTGGTTATGAATCGGGCTGCGAACCTTAAGGTCAGCAGTTCGAAACTACCAGCTGCTCC